AAGTAGGTAGGGAGAGAGAGAGTAGGTAGGTATGTATGTAGGGAGATAGAGGGGGAGAGAGAGAGAAAGAGAGAAATATAGTAAGTAGGTAGGGAGAGAGAGAGGGTAGGTAGATAGGTAGGTAGGTAGATAGGTAGATGTTTCCAGGTATTTATCCATGTGCTGGGGAAGGAAATAGCTGACAATCTGCAGCACCTAAGACTTTGTTTCTGCTGGCACAGCACTTGATCAATCTAATTCTCATCATCAATCAGTTAAAAAACTTTCCAAAAAGGGAAAAAATGTTTTTGCACTCTGCAAACCTCCCCAAAACGGCCCGTATTTCACAAAAATGGGCCCATTTCCCCCCCCCCAAAACAGGCATGAATAGCCTTGGAAGGGGGGGGGGGCTTGCAGAATGCTCCTGGTAGGGGGGGCAAAAATGAGCAAAAAACATGCATGCCTAGCCTTACGGCGGCTTATAGAATGCTGCTGGGGGCTGGGGGGCAAAAAAGGCCCCATTTTTCACTCATTTCTGCTCTCCCCAGCCCCCAGGAGCTCTCTGAAAGCCTTCTAAACAGCTATGCACGGCCATTTTGGTGAAGGGGGCGGGGTTTCAGAAGGCAAAAAATGCTGTATTTGTTGTATAAGACACACCCAGATTTTCAGCCTCTTTTTTGAGGAAAAAAGGTGCGTCTTATACTCCGAAAAATATGCGTCTTATACTCCGAAAAATACGCTATTTCATTGATTCTTCTCCAGCTTTCTAAACTTAACATATCACCTACAACAATGAATGAACAATTAATTTTACAGAAAAGTTGTGTCAAACTGGATTAGAACTATGGGATAATATGCGTAAGAAATGCCTAATGTACCAGCAAACAGCTCAAACTGATACAGCTGGCTTTGGTTGGCTTTCCCGGGAACAGGTGGAATACAGGTATGGTAAACAAATATACTCTGCCCTTAATTCATTTAGCATTCTAGGTGAAACAGAAACTTGGGTTTGTATCTGAGAAACTATTAAATATAAGAAACGTTTCATTTGGCTAGAATAAAACCATGTTTAACACTGGAAAAAAAATTAAAATACTGTCTATGTAGCTGCTTTGGGTAACTGTTTATCAATAATCTATTCAAAAACAAAACTCATTTTTAAAAAAAATGCAACCATAAAATCCCAATGTTTGGGCAACGCTATACTTTACTACTATAATCAGATTATTTGGAGTTGTGTACAATAGGTTATTATGATACACTGATGAATCCACCACAAAGAGTAAGCAAATTGTGTTCTTAAGTGGAACAGACTACCCTGCACAGGAGAGACTGCAATATCTGAGGCAGACTGCCATTGTTCAGACAGAACCCTGTTGTGGCCCAGCAGGAGCCGTTGGAGCTGCCACCAGACTCCGACAGCGAGGGGCCCTATGAGTCGGCTTTGGAGGACCCTGGACAGAGTTCCGACTCCGAGCA